GAGAGAGAGAGAGAGAGAGAGAGGGAGGGGGGGGGATATAGAGAGTGCGAGAGAGAAAGAGGCGACGGTAGGGTGCTCTACCCAGGTGTGGCAATGACACTTACACTAACACGTGCCACAACGCGCACGCACGCACGCGCACACACACACACACACACACACACACACACACACACACAGGGGCACAAACTACGCGGGAGCGAAACGAATCGGCGAGCCTCCGATTGATTACTGATAAGGTGGCCAGTCAAAACCCTCCCACCTGATTGCCCAGCAGGGTAGCCCTACTACCACGCCTCCCCCGCCAACGGCGTCACGCCTCAATACGATATCGAACTCACTCATCTAGAGCGCTTCGCTAAGTGTTACGACGCTGGTTGTAAAACTGCCAGCAAAGTCCCTTCAACCGCCTTGCACTGTTTAATTCTTACAAAGCATTCGCTTTCCAGAACTGCAAAGTATTTTGATCCTTTGTAACTACGAAGCATTTACTTTGCAATTACAAAGAGATGATTTCAATTGCGAAGCACTGAAACACGCTGCAAAGCATCGCTTTGCAATTGCAAAGCGGCACTTCGTAATTGCAAAGCATCACTTTGTAATTGCAAAAGTAAATGGCTTTGTAGTTGCAAAAGATCTAAATACTTTGCAGGAATCTAACAGTGTGGGAGCTTGGAGAATGGAGAAGCAGAACAGCTCCCAGCGCCAGGGCCCTCTCTACCCTTCCTTGAGCAAAGCTCAAAGATACGCCCCTCTTCTTTTTTTCGCCCCACTACAAACAGCACTAGTCTTCACAGAGATGCAGAGGTTTTCTCTCCTCCGACTACCCCTCCCAGCCACTTCCCCTCTCGTCCCGCTCCTCCGTCCCCGGCGCCGTTGTGCAGATCGCGCGACGCACAAGGCGGCCGTCGTGCTGCTGGATGGCCTAGTTGGGCGCCTTTGAAAACCTTTCAAGTCGACGGGGGCGGCGCGACGCGCTTTTAGTGGACGCCCGCACTGGGCCTCGCCTATCTCCTACTAGAGTTCCCCCCCTACTATCCCTCGCGTTTCCCGCTCCAACCGCTCTAAAACTTTTCACCTCTGCTTTACATTTTGGGGTGGCGGCATGGCGTTGCCGCTGGTGCAGTGCGGCGCGGGCCACACCTGCCGCGGCACAGAGTCTACCATACACACACACACCTGCAGAGCAGCAGCTGCCCCGGCTGCAGCTGCCGGCCGGCCCATAACGCACCTGCTGCCCGGCTTGTGCCCGCTCGACCACAGCCGTCACATGTTGTGCCGCACCGTGCTCGCCCCAGCCAGGCTCCCAGTAAAAATAATTTGCAGTCTACATTTACGAGCGCGGCCGTGGTCCAGCCGCCGGGCCGGGCGCCGCGCGGCCACGCCCCCTACACGCAGCAGCTGGCCGCCCCTCGGGCCGCCCGCGACCAGCACTACACGGCGGCGGCGGGGGGCTCGCGCGGGGAGCTCACGGGGAGCGGAATGCAGCCGAGCCACGCCAGCCGGCTCACGGGCCTAAACACCGCAGCGCCCGTTGTCATGCTCTCCAGAGCGTGGCCACAGCCAGCGGAAAAAAAACAACCAAACAGTAACAAAAGAACATCCTGCGTCCGGCCGACACCGACACCATCCTGGCCGTATATACTTGTACGGACGTAATGAGTTTGACGCTTACCTGGTCGGGCCGGAGTCCCGGCGGCACCCAGGTGTACTCCTCGAGGGCGCAGCCAGAGTCGTCGTCGGACTGCGAGTGCCGCTGGGGGTCGATGGGCTGCAGGCCCAGGGGCGCGAGCGGGCCGCCCTTGGGGGAGCCGTGCGGCTCGAGCAGGCCCGGCAGGTGCGTCGAGATGTTCTGCTGCTGCAGGCTGGAGCCGAGGCTGGAGCTGTTGGTGTTGGCGTGCGGCGGCGCGCCCAGGTTGTTGGGCACCATGGTGGTGAGGGGCGGCGGCGGCGGCGCGGCGGGCAGCGGGGCGCTCGGCGACGTGTGCATTGGCGACGCGGGCGGCGACGGCGGCGGCGGCTTGTGCTGCGTCGGGTGCGGGGGCGGCGGCGGCGGCAGCGCGTGCCTCGGCGGCGGCGGCGGCAGCGACAGCGGCGTCAGCCCCACGGACGGCGACGGCGCGTACTGGCAGCTGCGACAGCTGCGGCACACCTTCCTGCGGACACACGAAAAAAAAAAAAAACACATGTTACTTATTGCTCTGCAAAATGCCTTTGCTCATCGACCGCTTGATGGGAAGAGAGCAGAAGCTTACAGGAATTTTCTCAGCCCGTCGAATAAGGAGACCTCATTTTTCTCCCCCTGGAGATTGCCGTGATCCATCACCGGTGACCTCAGGTTGGGTCAACAAGTCGAGCAAACAGGCACCGACCGCCCTGGCCCGGCCCGCCCCTCCCCACCCCGCTCCGCTCTGCGACTCTGATGCAGGCCCGCTTAGGCACGCCCGTATGCGTGTCTGCGCGGCGGGTCTGCCTACCCCCCTGGGGGAGCCACAGGGTCGGAAAATGTCAAGTTGTCCTGTCTCATGTGACCAAGCCGCTCTGCCCCGCCCCGCCCGCCTGCCTTCGACAAGGGCCCCGCAAGGTCGCTGTGCAGCAGGGGTCGGGTGAGCGAAGGGCGAAGACCCTTGACGTGGCCCGGGTGCTGATGAGCGGGCTCCATCCAAGATCGCCCACGCCGCCCCCGCCGCCCCCGTCCCCCGACGGAACCCCGGGACTGGGCTCGAAAGAGAGGGTCCTCGGCGGCGGGGTAGGCGAGGCGACCGCCCTTGTCCCCAAACTCAACCCCGGCAGGCGCTGTTGTGTTGGCTTTCTTTCCCCCAGGCCAGGCCGTGGTGGGGCGCGGCGAGGACTCGGATTGATGGCGTCGGTGTTGTGTACACTTGGTCCAGTGCTGCATCCGGCCCACGGCCCCCCGCCGCCCCCGCCGCCCAACGCTCGGCCACGGCCCGGCAGGGCCCTGCCAGCCTCGGACAATATTGACACGGGGGTTGAGCGGGGGCGTCGGGGGGCCATGCTGGGCGAGGACATAAAACCTGGAAGAGCGCTGCCCCCCCCCAGGCCCTGCCGGAGAATTATGCCCATTTACTTGGCGACACAAGCTCACACAGACTGGAGGAGGATGCCGCGAGGCCTGAGCCGTGCGGAGGACACTCGCAGAAGGGAAGGCGTTACAGTCTTTCAATAAGTTTAAATTGTGTGGCAATTTTCAGGCACGTGTCACAATTACTCCACGATGCGCTTTTAAGATAACTGACGTTCGTACTCCCGTCATCCCGATGCAATAAAGAAGTCATTTTTGAGAGAAACCCGGGGGATATGGACAGGGTTGGAAAACTCACACCCCTGCTAAAGGCCGTATGTGCAACATCATGCATGTTTTTATCGTTATTGTTAAACGGGATAGAGCGCGTTGAACCAGCAGTGTTTTGCAGAGCACCGCTTTTCCCCTCTCACGGTCAGTCACAGGGTGGCGCGAGGCGCGCGCGGGAAGTTTCCGACGAGACGACGAAAAATAACTCATTTCCAAAAGTCCCGCGAAACAATCCGGCGCTGCGCGCGGGCCCGCCCCGGCCGCAGCGGAAGCCAAATCAGAGCAAACCCACTCATTCCATATTAATTCTCACTTTGCATTCGCCGCCTTTGTTCCGCGGCCTCGCCCGGCCCCGCCCGGCCCCACCAGGACCGCCTTCCTAACCGCATTGCCTTCCGTTCATCAAATATGATAATGCTACCTGGTGCAGCCGTCCCCGCCTAGGCGCGCCTCCTGCCGCAGCGTCAAAGGGTGAGCCCCGCAACACCTCTCGCTTGCAGGGCACGCAAACTTAACACTTATTTTGTAATTTTGGTGTTATTATTACGTGGTTTTCCCTCGGAATTTTCTTCACTTATAAAAATTATCAAGAAACGGTAACTTTATTAAGATTAGACATTATCTTTTCAATGAAAGTAATTGTACCTATAACTTCTCTAACTCTGTCCGTTTAATACGTTGAGTGGGAAAAGGGGGGGGTAGCAAACACGGGTTATTGTGACCACATACCTGTGGTGGCAACGAGGGACTCAACGTGTTAAGAGATATGAGCAGCAAAAATTCCAAAAAAAACAATTTAAGTTTTCATGCCCGGGAGCAGATTTCCACCTGCGATC